AGAGTCTTGCTGAAATGACCAAGAATGCCCACAACCGCAAAAACCATTCCTGCAAAGTAACAGTAGGTATCCCCTACAAAAACTTTTGCAGGATACCAATTATGCCACCAAAGCGCAAATGACACGGCAATGAATGGGAGTAAAAGATATATCGAAAAAAGATGGGAGTCCATGGCTGGATGGGGGTAAGGAGTGAAAGGGGAGAGATATAGGGCGTCATTTATCAACAGTAATATCGCAATTACTAATGACTGAGATACCTCAATCCCATTAATCCCGGCAAGCATGTTAATGCTGTTGGGACAGAATATCGCAACAGCGGCCATGTACACGTAATACAGCCAGCCCAGATCTATGAAAGGCCCTAGATATCGCTGTAACGGGACTGGGACAACCACATGGGTAACGCCAAAATCCACAAAATACACGATAAGCATTGGTATTGATGCAAACGCCGGGATGAGCACCTTGTGCCGCCACCGTATATCGAGCATGTCGTCACCGATACCAAGGATCACAATAGACTGCAGCGACAAAAGGCCAGAGAGGTATAAGGCAAGCTAATGATATTAACATAAAACGTCAATAAAACGACACTAGACGGAGCGAAAAGTCCAGAATCACGTTGTACCTTATTATGAGGAAAACGATGAAGCAACCGTCCTGTTTCAACATGGACCACTGGTAACACCACATCTCGATTTCCACCTCCTGATGTAGCAGCCACAATATCTTTGTAAAACGGGAATGGAATAAAAACCATCAACAATAGTATATAAACAATGGCGCAAACGGCACCCATTGTTTCCGGACTATGAACGGTTGTCAGCAACATTTTCCTAAAGGATGGAAGTCCGTCGTTATTTCTGCACCATACATCTCAACTTGTCGCAACTTCGACATGTCCTTCCCTTTTAATCCAGCCTTAATAAACACCCCTCCTAGCCATCGTATTAGACTATAAGTGGCTGCAAAAGCAATACCGCTCAAAGCAAGAGACGCGACCAAAGGTTCGCCGTCGCCTTGAAAAGTGTTGGCGAGAACACCGAGACATGCGACTACCAGCGCCAGCAAGCTCCAGGTCTCATTGCGAGTCAGGGCATCCTTCATGTTAAATAATAAAATGACCATGTGTCCCACATAGTCATGCAACACTGCGAAATGCAGAAACTTTTAAAGTCATATCGAGGTATCAATACTTCTGCCAGCTGTCACAGTTGGTTGAATATATATGTTGGTTAGGCCGGAGCTTGCATTATTCTGCAGCGCCTTACCGCCTTGATAATGGAAAAAAAAAATTCCGATGTGCTGAGCATATTTCACGTGATATGAAACGTCATTCCCGAAAGCAGCAATTGAAGAGCGTAGAGAGTAACGAGTCCAAATGTTGTAGAGAACAGAGGGATAAAAAGGAAGGACCTGCAGTGGCTGCAAATCTTCGATATGGCTGCTTTTGCTGACTTTGATGCCGACCACCGCGACCTGGTGACAGTCACAAAATTCAACTTCTACGGGAACCGTATTCTGACGGCGTCTTCCGATCATCGCATCAAGGTCTGGGATCAAAAGGATGCGGGCTGGCAACTTATAGATACATGGCGGGCCCATGATGCTGAGATTCGCGACGTAAGTTCTTTGTCTATGAAAGAAGGGAAATAATAAAAAATTCACATTCCTACCTCCGGTTTGAGTTCAGTACATCTTGATCGTGCTATCGATTTATATTTGCGCGCAAACAATTTCTTTGACTGATTCTTTTCATACATGCGTCCTTTATCTTCCGGGTAAAAGGCAGGATGGAACGGACCTTTTACAGGTCAACATATTGGAAGTGTAGGCGAAGATATGAAGTTCAAGATATGGCAGGAAGACGTTACTCAGCCTCCCAATTCCGGACGCCGGTTTCGAAATATCTTCCGCCTTACATCCCCCGTTCGCACCCCCTATGTCTCACTGGACTTTCGGAACATTGATCTCGAATCATACCTCGCGCTGATTACGCGCGATGGACTTCTCACGGTCCTTGAGCCCGTCAACCCGGACAATCTCGCGGAATGGCAGCAAGTTGATCAGTTTAGAGTCTGTGCTGAACCATCACGTGGTGAAGAAACCAGCTTCAAAGTGCAATTCTATCATGATCCGATGGATATCACGCAAATAATTTTACCGGGCTGGGATAGCAAGTGCCTGTCACTTGTTGTCGCGGCTATGGACACTGTGAAAATCTATCGCACGGATGCTAACAGACGATTTTATCATGCCATTGAGCTTGGAGGCCATGCCAGTCTGGTGCGCGATATATCGTGGGCCAACGGGTCTGTACGCGGCTTTGATTTGATTGCTAGCGGGTCGAAGGACGGGACAGTCAAGATATTTGAAATTTATACAACTTTGGCCAATGCAGTAGGTAGCTCAGCGAATGGTGCTACCAATCGGCCCCCCTCGACTTCCTTTCATTCATCTACTGGTCGCACATCTATACAGTCCGGTATTGGCACAGCTCTTGCCAACCGTTCACCTGTCACTCTGATGAATCTTCAAGAGGGCGGAGATACCCATTTCAAGCATACATACAAAGAAGTTGCATCAATTGATAGCAGACACCTGGATGTTTGGCAGGTGGGGTTCTCTCAAGCTGGTAAGCAGTATCCCTTGCCCTGTATTTTAGAACCTCTGTTGTCGTATTCTTGTGGTCATGCGAGTGTAGCTTATTTTCTAACGAACCTTATACCTCCTGCAATAGGCGACTGCCTTCTCTCTTCTGGTGATGATGGCACAGTTAGATTCTGGAAACGGTCTATATCAGGGAAGTGGCTAGAGTTTGCAGAAACCGATATGAGTGATGAGTACGCCTCCAATATGCGATAACTTTCCTATGGTAAAACAGTCTAATTGCTGATCTAATACCCACGTAGATGAGCTTTGTTTAGACATGTCCCTCATGTTTCGGAAGTATGAGGAATATGCAAGTCCAACGTCCTAGTGTTGTCCTTATTTAACTTGGTTATTGCTCTTTGGATGCGGTTTGATGTTTACCTTCGTCTTCCATTTCCTTCCCATTGTTTCTTTTTGCAGATTGGAACACCCAGGGAAGGTAATTTTTTTACAGTTTCTTATTTTATATGTTACATTTGCATTTGCATCGTTGTTTTGCTTTTGCTTTCCCACGTGATACCCCATCCCCATTGTCCCATTATTCTTTCTTTGTTTGCATCTTAATTTTTTCGAATATTATGATTTTATCAACGGACATTTAGAACGGATAGAAATAATCAAGAGTCAACCTTAGAAAAGCCAGCTATAAACACTTTAGGAGTCAAAATGATAAAATTCTTCGAATTGAGGTCACTATTGAACAATGTTATTATGAATACGAATTGGCTCATCAGGACATGAACTTTTGCAGCTCCCTCAGGCCGATCTGCTACGACTCAGACATGCAGAGAGCAAAGACCAAAACTGATCGATCCTTTTGCAATAAGAATCCTTCAGCCCATAGCTAAGTCCTAGAAAACAAACCCACCACGATTCCATCGTCAAATTCAACCCAACTAGGAAGGGAGAAAGATATATGTCAGGGCGGGAGTGACTTTTAAGTCGGCCATATGTTGTAAACAGCACCGAATACAACGGTCGCAAAGCCAAAGACAATGCCCGATATTCACTCTAGTTCGCCAATATGACCTAGCCATCCTATGGAGAGTTCATAAAAACCAGGTATTGGAGGTTGATTATGCGTTCAGAGCGTTAGTTATTTAAAAGTTGAAGGAAAATTAGTTGAAGATGCGAGCCTCAGGAAAGCTTTGGTGCTCACAAGTTGTGCGCTAGCCCGCGATCCATGTGCACGTGATATTAGGATTATTGTTGTACCGGAAGCCTACTTGGCATGAAATTTCTATCGACAAGCTCGATTTTCATTTCTGTCAAAATCATTTTCTCAATCATTTCAGTTCTCTTTTCATGTTTTATGAGGGTCATATGATAGTAAGAGTGATGGTTGGACATAATGAATCTCCCAGTCATCCTTAACCATACTCGAAAACTCCTTTCCTCTTACATCGTTCGCCGCGCGTGGTCGCCGGTTGGGTTTCCTCCTTACCCAATTCTCCTTGTTCCGCTACGTCTATCCCCCCTTTGTGCCTGATCTCCTCCTTCCCCCCAAATCACCGAAATAAAGAAGCAAAAAGCATGAAATCCACCCACACAGCCCCCATAACGTATGACCAAAAATCGAGAGGAGAGAAAAACTGCAGTCGGAACGTAAGCGGAAAAGAATCTCTGGATCCCCAAACCACAACATTGCCACCATCGTGCCGCCTCTCAATGGCCATCGCATGTATACTTCGTTTATAAACAATCGCATGTGGAAGATCGAGCCCCTAACAGTTTTTTAGCAGAGACTGTCGTCTACTCCACCCTTCCATTCTAGCTGACTGTGGGATGGTGAGGACTATGTAATATGACGGACATTTCCTTTTCCAAGAACTTTTAATATTCTTCCATTGCGCCATTCTGGGGTAGAGAGTATTAAGAGTTACTCATTTAAAATATTAATAAATTACCATCATTGATCCAGTACAAAGGTTGACATGCAAGTTAAACAAATATATTGTTTCAGTATTGATGGTCCTTGTGCTTCTTCATTCAATTACGAGAAATACCCAACATAACCTTACGATGACAACGAGGCCTTGGGTAATGAATGTAGTTGACCGAAGCTTTTCAAACGCAGCTGTCCAAGATGAGAATAGAGATAAAATTCAGCAAAAGCCAGCAAAAAAGAAAAAAAGAAAAAAAGAAAAAAAGAAAAAAAAAGAAAGAAAAAAGAAAGAAATCAAAGGAAGGGAGGTATCAAGGAAAAGCTTGCAGCAGAGATCCTCCCAGAAGAGACTACGCAGAGTCCGTGAAGATATGAATGATATTTCTCTCGACCGGTTCTCAAACGGAGTAGAAACCCAATATCTTGAACAAAAATCAATCTTCCCCCACCCCTGCTAGGGCTAGGGAGCCGAGGATATCGCAACCGACGACGGCGCCTGCTGACATCCACATTCCTCATTGTCGACGCTGACCCAAAACGCTACTAACACTGTCAATGTATTAATCGTGAGTTTCTTGATTTCCGACGCCGGGCGAGTGCGTGTATTATCGGACAAAATAGGAGCCAACAATGCACAGAACAGCCTGTCAGAATTGAGATTCGCAACCTTCTTTAGCTCCATATCCTTAATCTCAAGGTCGCGGATATGATTCGTATTCGCTGAAAGTAATAATTTGTTCTCAGCTGGAAAAAGCAACAAGGGGAAGAAAAGCAAAATCTAATTTCAACATACTTCTTAACGCAGGAATAGTATTCGAAATATTCTCCACAAGATCCCTTGTTTTGTTGTTAAGTTTGCAATAACGTCGGCCTTCTCTGATGGTTTCAGTTTTGCATCTTCGGTGGAGAAGGCAATTCAGTCGAGCCAATAGAATTTCTGTTGATTGCCAGTGCGAGAAGAGTAACAATAAACGTAACATGGCATTCCGGTCTCCCTTTTCGGTTCATCAATTTATCAAATCCGGGGAACGTAGGTTTTGTCAACCCCACTGAGTTCTGGCAAATACAGTACTTAATCATCTTGTTCATCAGGCGTGGTATCATCCACCTCCTAGACAATTGCGCCTTTTGAGAGTTGAAAAACTTCCTGTTTCTTCGAAGCCGTAGGGCGATATACGCATGCACTTAGACATAACGCATATTTGATGAAACAGATGCGATATCACACGCAATATAATACCAGCGAATCGCGCGCAAAACGTAAACGCTTGCAGAACTAATAATACGGTTCATGTCTGCGGCTTTGACCCAGGACAAAAGCGTTTGTGGGTTTTGGACTGCTTCGTCAACACACCCTGAAGATAGTTTCTTTGAAATGACAAACGGGCAAAATTGGAAGGACATTATCGACGATAACAGCGGATTGTACGGTTGGCTATCACAGTTTTTAACCTTCGCGAACGTTGAACAACTTCTCGCTGCCCAGCAAACGTGAACTGGGAACCCAAATAGGTTTGCCGAAGCCAACAGTCAACGGTATCATAACATGATTAGGTAGTCTCTGCGCACATATTCGGGATCTCAACATGACAAGTTAATATCAGTCCTATATTCGAAATATTTCCATACAATATACCCGGAAATATTGACAGGGAATATTCTTCCAGCTTTTATCTGAAATATTAAAATGTATACAGGTAGTATCTTTTGCGTTCCTTTATAACTTTGCAGCGGTCGCATGATGTACTTCAAGTGCACTACGTCAAAAATCATATCGAGATGGCAAAATTTTCCAGCTGACATAAAATACCTGTTCATGTTTAAACAGACATTGCCAACAACTCTTTGTCTTGAAGTGATTACTACATCGGCCGTGTAGTTAAACAAGCCGACTTTTAACTGGAGAGACCCTCTTACCGCAGACTCAGGGAGAGTTTCAAAATGTATTCAAACTTCCATGTGGACAACTGAATTCTGGATCCAGCACTCTGTTTTTCAACCAAATGATAAGTTGGGAGAAGACTGAATCCGATGATAGGATCGTTCGCAGACGTGGAAGGCTCCGATACATCATAAAAGCCGCAATAGCTAGCCGAATCCTGATCTCCAGTTAGGAGAAGTTGAGAACTTGGTTGAGAATAAGCCTCTATTGGAAGCTCCATAAATGGCGTGGAATTCAAAATCGCTGAACCCATATATCATCATTCTTCACTAAATAAAGTATTAACGATACAACTCCAAAAGCCAAGAGAGAGAACCCTATAACTCCACCCATTATGGCGAGAAGGCCACTGCAAGGTATTAGAGGTCTGGGCATGTTAGCATCCAGGTTCTCCGCCGAAAATGAAGAAATGCCGGCGGGGTTTCAAAATTGAAAATTCTTTAGGCCATTTCGGAAGGTTGGAGCCAGAAGGATACGTTGTCTTTGACTCTCCATTCGTCCAAAACTCCGGGGGAAATAGGCAGTGCTGGGGGCCATTCCGCAATTCCGCAATTCCGCAGTACCTTCTTTCCAATCGGGTCTGTATGGCTTGAGCATCTCCAGGCCCGACTAAATAGCCAGCAAAAGAGATGTTTTGTGAAAAAGCCGGCAGCGTAGATATAATTCTGCGTCTCCGAGTATTCGACACCTACTTGATCGAGAAGATGACCCATATATCTTCTTCGATCCATTACGTTGTGGAAGAAGATCAATGTACGGTTAATTGCGCTCTTTCCGATATAAATTCCAGCGGTGGCCGTCCCTCCGCTTTGAATCAGCCAATCATATGAGGCGATAAAGGAGGTACTCGTATGCCAAAACAAGGACTCAAACAGGCAAAGGGTAACCACCTTGCTGATCAGTTCGCAATTACAAAGCATTTTGGCAGGATAGAAACCCAATTTGGAGGACAACTCAAAACGAGGCGAAAAGAGCTGTTCCAGCACAGGAACATGAGACGAACCATCGTAAGGAATACCTGACAGCAGCGTAACAACCTGCAGGGGCTGTCCGAGTCGCTGGGGACTAAAGCCTAAAAAGACTTGGTTGGAATCAACCATTCCCCAGGGGTTGGAGGGCCCAAGGTGAGAATGCCTTCCAAAATGCAGGCTTATCCCATCGGACTGTTCCTGAGGCAAGGCGTCCTCGATGCCGGAGTGTTTGTTGGCAAGGCAAAGGCTGGAGTGGAGCTGACAGTTGACTAAATTCAACCAACCAATTCCGCTCAACATTCTCCTCCGTCAGAGTCCATATCCACCCTCCATTTGGCACTATGCTCGGGGTTCATTTTGCTCTGCGCAGCCCGGAAAACAATAGTTCATTATTTTCCGTGTGCTCACGTCCAGGGAATAACTAATCATCACGTCCCCACCATTATTTCACTTCGTCCTCGTACCACGTACTTTTCCCTTCCTTATGTCAACCGGCCTGCTGTCGTTCGGTGTGAGGGGGGTAATTTACTCTCATTCAACTGAGGCATATCTACTGCTGCAAAGGATCTAGGTACTTACTTGGAGTACGGATTCTGCTGTTCTTAGAATAATCAACCTTTAATGCTTTTCATAAGTCACCGTGCATTATTACACTGGATCGGCGTTTGATTGACCCATGGTTGACTTCTTGGGATTCGGGATCCATTAGCTAATCCATGACTTAATGTGTCGTTGTTTTTCAGCTCCTGTGATTGGTGAAGAAGATGTAATTCTGGCCCTTTCTATTGGTCCAGGCCCTTGTCCTCTTGCCTCGACATTACTAATCCACTGTCATGAAATATCCCCGGCCGTAAAATTTTGAACTCCCATCTCATTGTGTCATTATTGCATCTCCTGACAGTCATTACTCTCGTTATTTTTCTCCTATTTCCTCTTTCCAAGGCATCATTTATCTCCTTTTTCCTTTTGTTTCTGTTCCGTTTTTGAGGATGGCTTCTGTGGCGAGAACTTTCACTCGGGGTTTCACTCGCGCATCCACCGCCAACTCCTCTTCGTCGATCAGATATTCCACTCGCACTTCAACTCGCTTTGTCCTCCCCTCCCAGGCCTTCTGTACCGGGTCCCGCAGAGGATATGCTTCTGGTCCTGAGGGTGAAAAGTCTTCTCGCAGCTTCCACATCGGATTGGGAGCTGTCGTCATTGCAGGTGCCGGTGCTCTCTACTACCTGAATAAAGATGGCCCGAAAGCCAGCACGAAACCCTCAGGCCCCTTCACACCAACCAAGGATGATTACCAGAAAGTGTACGATGAAATTGCGAGACTCTTAGTTGAAAATGATGACTATGATGATGGTAGCTATGGACCGGTAAGCTAAAACTCCCCGCAAATGTATCATTTGCAGCCGTTATCTGACTTTTAGAGTCTCTAACAGGTTCTAATCCGATTGGCATGGCACGCAAGTGGTACTTATGATAAGGAAACTGGAACTGGAGGAAGCAATGGTGCCACCATGCGCTTCGCTCCTGAGAGTGACCACGCTGCCAACGCTGGTTTGAAAGCTGCGAGAGATTTCCTCGAGCCAGTTAAGGGTGAGTAAAGAGATTTATATGATGTATGTACTATGTATGTCGATTGATTACGCTAACTCTATTTGTAGCGAAGTTCCCCTGGATCACCTACTCCGATCTTTGGACTCTTGCTGGTGTCTGCGCAATTCAGGAATTGCAGGGACCTTCTATCCCATGGCGCCCTGGCCGCCGAGACAAGGACAGCACTGCCTGCACCCCTGACGGACGTCTCCCTGATGCTTCCAAGAACGAGAAGCACATCAGAGCTATCTTTGGACGAATGGGCTTTGACGACCGCGAGATTGTCGCCCTCTGCGGCGCTCATTCTCTTGGCCGTGCCCATACTGACCGATCTGGTTATGATGGCCCGTGGGATTTCAGCCCGACTGTCTTCACCAACGAATTCTTTAGGATGCTGGTCAATGAGAAATGGAACTGGAGAAAGGTACGTACATGGCAATGGATTCTATAAATATAGCTCGACTTACGTCAACTAATAACGAAAAAACACAGTGGAACGGTCCAGCCCAATTCACTGACAAGACTACCCACACCCTCATGATGCTTCCCACAGACATTGCCCTTGTTAAAGACAAGGAGTTCAAGAAGCACGTCGAGCGATATGCCAAGGACAGCGAAACCTTCTTCAAGGAGTTCTCGGATGCATTCGTCAAGCTTCTCGAGCTTGGTGTCCCATTCACCTCTAAAGCTGACGATCGCTTTGTGTTCAAGACCTCCGACAGCTAAATTACGGTGTCCTTCTTTTCTACAACCCCGTTGCAAAGCGTCCTGAGCGTTCGATTTCCGATTAAATTCCGGCTATACTAATTACTTTTCTTCTAGCACGTAGTGTCGAATTTCCCTTTTCCCTTTTTTTTTTTTTTTTTTAACATAGACTACATATCCGTACACTTTTACTCTTGACAGAAGATTGCAATTATAGACTGCACAGATCTCCACTCCTGTTTCGTCTCGGGTCGAGTATTACGCTCGTTCCGTTTATGTAAATTAATTTTTATATGTTCGAGTGTGATTTTGAAGCAGGATAAAAGGCAGCAATACAGCAAGAGTAGTAGAGCGGAGGAAAAGTGTGAACGAGTGAACTAGCGATTGTTCAGTGATGATGTAGAGTATTTAAAAAGCACCGTTGAATAAATTAAAATTTGAATTTAATTCTCCTTTTAATTTATCTCCTACGAACAGTTAACTATTTGTTATTTGTCTTGCAAAAGTAATCGAGAATAAACATACAGTTAACCCGCTTGACCATGCAGAAGATAAAGTTTGCAGATATTAACCGGCTATTTAACCACCTGCTCAAAGAGTCCTTACATCGTACTCTCCGAACCGCGCAGCTAAAGCCCCAACGCAGCCAGCAGTAGTGAGGAAGCCATGGATCGACTGCGTATATAATGCTAGGCAATGTTCGTCTAACTGGGACAAATCTCGCTTTCTATCCGTCGCTCTACCTACCGGCCCACATATAACTATGACTCCATCAACGGCTCCAAGCACAACGCCGACGCACTACTTGATCCTCAACCTTCCATATCCCCCGCCTCAACCCCTTCCCAAGCCAGCTGTAAAACTAGCTTACCATCGCGCGCTACTAAAACACCATCCCGACAAAGCTCGAGCAGCTACATCCACATCCTTATCCAACCCCGCCCTCACCACCGGTGCCAGCAAGATCGCAAATTCAGGCCCACAATGCACATATAGAACAGCGCGGGTGGCATCTAGTGTAGCTGCCATAGCTCCAGTGGATGACGCGAACGGAAAGGACATCCCCTACGACTTGCACCGGTACACTGTCGACCAAATAACCAGGGCGTACAAGATTCTCTCAGACCCAGTCGCCAGGGCTGAATACGACCGCTCACTTCACCTGTTGGGGATAAATGGCAGCATATATGGACATAGGCATTGTGGCAGTGACGGTGACGGTGACGATACGGATTTCCGGACAGGAATGGAGGTTTTTGATCTAGATGATATGGAGATTGGGAATGTTTTGGGTTCCGACACAGGAACTGGTGACAGTGGCGGTGGGATGTGGTACCATGCCTGCCGGTGTGGGGAGGAGAAAGGATTTCTGGTGTTGGAAGAGGATCTGGAAAGGGAGGCGGAGGGAGGAGAAGTAGTTGTAGGGTGTTGTGGGTGCAGTTTGTGGGCGAAGATTGTGTTTGCTGTTGAAGATGGGGGCGATGAGCTTGTTATGGATGAGGCCGTGGATGGGAGTGGGGATGGGAGTGGGAATGAGAACGGGAATAGTAGGATATCGTGAAAGGAAGAACCTTTGAGGTTGAATCCATAACTCCTTGCATATCGAAGGTTCTTGCTTCTCTGTACGCTCGCTCTTTTTCGCTCTCCCCCGATCAGTCTGCGCTGCGCGTACCCAGCCTTTCATATGGCATCCGCCAATATAGGGATATCAACAGCCAATCCAACGAGAAGCAGACCCGCAATATGGGGGATTTTCTTGCGTTAGCTGTCATGGAGCATCCAGATAAGTTCAAGATGGTGTATGACACTTTCTCTCTCCTCCATCTACGCCAGGAGCTACTCCTCTGCTGCGAACTCTTGACGGTCGCCAGAAAGGATCCCCTCAGCCAGCAAACGATTGTGTGACTGACACATAGTTTATTTGGCCCTTGGAGAATTTTGTTACAGAAAGTGTTCAGACAATCCACTTCTCAATGCCTAGGAATGGGGCGGGTAATGGCAAGCAAAGATGTTGTATATCAACACATCTCGTTGACATACCCAAATAAAGCTCTAGGGACCGCTCTCAGAGTTGGAGCGGATTTGGGAGAAAGTAGATATCTGGTTTATCAACGGATGCTGATCGCATCAGCGCAATCAGTTACTCTTCTCTTTCTTTTCTTAAATAATAGTATATAATAACCGCATTTTTGAAAACACTGGGAAATTTTATAGTATTCGGTGGTAAATATTCCCATCGCAGCAGGACGCTTGTTGTTGGTCGGTGCGTGCAAACGGCTTGGGCTGGAGCTTACCTCAACCATCAAGATTCTTTCACCTAAAATTCACAACCAACCACATTTCTACACCATTTGGTCAGTGAACTCTCCTGTCAAGCAATCCAAAATGTCTAAAATAGCCCATGTATCATCTCAAAAGCAGTTTTCCGAGCTCCTCGCATCCTCCCCCATAGTTGTTGCAGACTGTAAGTAGCGTCTCTCAAAGCGGATGATTGATCTCGATATCACCGCCCCAATCAACTATCCCTCCAACCTCCTCCCCTTCACCAGCCCGCATTATACCTCTCCTGAACCGCATCGGACGGTCATATCAATAGGGCGCAGATGGCTCAAATTGCGTTGCTAACATTATTTCTTTCTACGGATAGTCTACGCTACCTGGTGTGGGCCATGTAAAGTTATCGCGCCGGTGTTCGAACAGCTGGCTACAAAGTTTGGGCGCCCGAACCAGGTGTCATTTATTAAGATCGATGTGGACGCGAATGCGGAAGTGGCTGCCGCTTGTGGAATCACTGCGTAAGTAAAAAGAGGATTTTTTTGTGATAAAGTTATATTCATCTTGTCTCTGACCTTCCCTTTAACTTCAAAGGCCGTCGCACAAAAACTGCCTATTCCTGATTACCAACTGATACAGATTTGCTAATGTTCTACATTATTTTATCTACCGTTTTAGTATGCCCACATTCCTAATATTCAAAAATGGCAACGTCGCCCATTCAATCCGAGGCGCAAACGCGCAACTCCTCACAGCCAAAATCCAAGAGATCGCCTCGAGTGGATTGAACGACAGCGGAGCGGATGGCGCAGAGGGCGAGTCCGGCGGTATTGGCGCACACTGGCTTGGAGGAAACGTTCCAAGGGGATACTCAGAACTGTCTAACGAAATTGAAATTAAGGGCATAGATCTTCTCAATTGTGACAACGAGATCGGATCTGGGAGATCATTATTTGCACCAGAACAGCCTTCAGGTCTTTCTGCTTCTGCTGGGAGTGGTGGGAATGGGAAAGCTAAGGATGCAACTACACCAGACTGGGTAGAGAGCGACACGGACGAACAGCTTATGTTATATGTCCCGTTTCAATCGTCTGTAAAGATTCATTCGCTACAGATCACCTCCCTCCCGCCTAGTGGGGGTGATGATGGTGATGAGGTACCAATGCGGCCCAAGACGCTAAAATTATATACCAATCGCACTCATATCATTGGATTTGAAGAGGCGGACGAAGAGGCTCCAACGCAAGAGATAGAGTTGACACCGCGGGATTGGGAAGCGAAAACGGGAACTGCGACCGTTGAACTGCGATTTGTCAAGTTCCAGCGCATCACGTCGCTTGTTGTATACTTTGTAGATGGGGATGGGGATGGAGAGAGGATCCGTGTGGACAGGGTGAGGGTGTTTGGTGAAGCTGGGGAGAAGAGGGAAATGGGCAAGCTGGAAAAAATTGGGGATGAACCGGGAGAATAGGTTAAAGAGTCGAGCTTGTAAGACATGTCCAGATGGGCACAAAAAATACCTTCAAGGTGGCTTCGCTAATTACTTCTTGTGTCAACACAACGTTTTAGAGCACGGGAGAGTGGTAAAACTGAAACAACGGCACAGATTTTCTCATTCAACAATATTCTTTCTCATTTGGGAATAATTACTCGCTATATATCTTGTTACATATGAACAAGCACTGCGGGCTTTCCGGAGGGCGATCCCAACCCGCCCATAAACCATGGGACAAGTCCAATAGACTCTTCCTTATCCCTCCATCGAGTTTTCTCTGTCCACCAACCACCACAGCAATCAACCAGCCATTAAAATATATAAAAGGTGTTCGATCCCAAACCAAATGGCCATTTCCTCAATGCGAAAGAGGGTAATAAACAAACGACCAGTAAAGTAAGAACCGACGTGCAATTTCATCATTCTGTGACGCAGCCGACACCTAAGGATTTTTTGACTCAATCAAACATCACAAATAAAAAAGCTTTTTTCTTTAATGAAAAGAAGCCTTTTGATGTCTAGGCAACACGGGTTAAAGGCTGCGTCGCCGCACGAAGAAAGAAAAAGAGAAAATTTTAGAAGGCAAAGATTGCTCGGAGAAATTTTATATGGGAGTATGACGGAGGAATAGTTTTACCGAAGCGGGCTGCTTTGGGTTTAGTGGGTTCTGTTTGTGCAGAGATAAGTGCTCTGTAATTATGGACTCAAGGGCCCAAAGGGGTGCTTTGATAAAGAGGTAAAACAAACGAAAGCAAAGCATCTTTGGATGCTGTTTCATGAGCTTGTTGGAAGCCTTTCTCTGATCTTCTTCATCAAAAGTCCGGATTCCTGTCTCTGACTGGCTAATATTCAGGTAGTAGTTAGCGTCTTGGAGGAAGACCTACGGAGCTAACAATGGTCAATGATGAGCATATGCGACCACGGTTGTATATCAATTCACATACAAAGGAAGAGGATGAATTGCCCCTTTTCGAGATTGTTATCAATCTGACACTTTCTGGCAGTATTGCCGCCACCTATGCCTACCACACACCATTAAATTACATTCATCTAGCGCCGGACGTAGAGAACCTCGTATAGATTCTTCGGGACCGGCCAAAATGAAATAGCGTTGGTAGGTTGGAAACTTCACTGCTTTAACTTCAAAATTGAGGTCTAACCAATTTTCTTCAAACCGAAGTTTATCACATAAACGAAAAACTCTCAGATCCGAAATCTCCGCCCATCTCACTGAAGGATTTTCAGGAGCCGCGTATTTTAAACATGATCAACCCAATGCCGTAAGGAACTCCAGTTATCAATCTAAATAATAACCTTGGAATGGTCTTTGCAAGATAAGAAGCTCTATGGAACAGTCTTCTCCTACCAAACCTGCAAACCCAATGTCACCGCCAACCATTTCCGCAGACTTCGTCTTGGGGAATCCATGGCTTCTGTAACTATAGAGTCCCAACTCCGGGCCTTGCTGGTCGAACCACGGCTAACTAAAAGATTCCAGAAGCTCATGGAAGTTAAAAGGGCCATCTATACGATGGGTCGTGACGCAATTACATTACATTGATCAACGAATGTAAAAGGATGCAAAAAAGATAGTTCTATGGATCTCAAGGAAATTTAGTCTGAAACCAAAAAATTGATATCATAGTTTCGATGGGTAACTGCCTTAGGATCCCTAGTTATAACTAGTAGAGTGCCCACCAAAAAATAATTAAAAATAAGATGGGGAAACATCAAATCCTTTAGACGCGAATTGCTGAGGCTTGTCGTATCCATGTCCAGGTCAGTTTCCAAGTCTGCTGGGGCTAGAACGATCTTCTGGGACAATATCCAGTGTATTACTTGAAGGCAGGAAAAAGAATAATACAAGGAAGCATGTACAAGGGCTGTCTTCCTGGATAGCTGAGAGAAATTTAAATTGCTTCTTGAAAAGGTCTTGAAGACCAAACATCATCAAATACTCCGACAAAAGAGGTGACAACAATCCTGAAAACCAGGTTGTCATTGAACCCTGCAGTTGCTTTGATAGCATAATAATAGGTCATCATAAAGTCAGGAAATCCCACTACAATAATCTCGTGAAAAACAGCCAAAGGATCGCTGTCGACTGCAATCGCGGTGCCATGTCAACATCTCTGAGGCAGATGTGGATACAGATAATGCACCCACCATTTGCCGAAAGTCTGGAATTTGCGGGGAAGCAAACTCGATATACGCCTACATGAGGAGCAACAAGCCACCGGATTGTGCGCCTTTGTCTACGCAATACAGAGTGGGGGGAAAAGAGAAAGTTTAATGATAAGTCTGACATCGTTGAGTCCAGGTCACCGTAGTGTCCACTCTCGTGGTCTTGCTAAGTTGTTAGTTCTGCGATTATTGCCTGCGCTGGGACCGGTTCAATATTAATCTAAGCCAGCGATTCCATCAGCGCGGAGGATTAGTCGCTGTTTTCCCTACTGTGCATTTCCTTTAAGCGATGTTCCAGTCTTTCACATGGCTTCAGAACGCTCCAGTTACTCCCCACAAACCAGAGACATTGGAGATTCCAGACGATAAAAGCTGAAGCCTATTTGATGAAGTCTCAATATAAATTCGACACTCAACAGAATCTGAGCCAAGAAGAGTACGCATTGGGTGGCCTTACTGGGTTCTCCAACCTTCTTCCAGCGCTTCAGTCCATACCAGGATGATCCCTCCGGCTCTGGTTTACCAAATGGTAGTAACAGTCCAGGAACTAGGAGCTGCAGAGTGCCCAGTGAGAAGGGTATTCGACCCACCCTTATCAACACTTTTAACCAAATGCCTGCCAGGTTACTCTTGGCCGGATAAAAACTATTTAAGTCTACCACGAGGTTGGTATTATTATTCACCGATTTATCCAGCCTCGACGATTCTGCGTCAAGACGGAGAAAGAGCAGAAAAACGTCTTTCTAGGAATATTCACCAGAAAAAAATATTGATGGCCAGTCAATAGTGGTATTCTGCTGTGTATCCAAATTATCCGTCGTTTTCTTCACATGCCGGATTTGAAATTTCAGGCTACAGAACTAGAACCAACGCAAATAAAACAGAGCAGAAAAGGGCGTCGAACTTAATCGACAATCGAAGAAACTTTCCCGAGATTAATTAAATACTACTCCCCAAGAACAACCAATTCTCCCAACCCTGTCTCTCGTCCCCAAAGAACGGCAGTTCCGAATGAAAATCAAGGCTGACAAAAACGCGTATAAACGGTGAGGATGAAGCAACATATAAAGCTCTTGGGGAAGAAAAGAAGGCCATGAGAACTGCAAAATAATGATCAGCGTGAGAAATCAGTTTTCTGGATTGTTTCCCAATTGATCTGCTCTGCACGATGCTACTTTTGCTCCACTTCACTCAAGTCTAATCCTGCCAAGGAACGGAATTCTGGAGATTGAACGTTAGAATATAATAAAAATGGATTGGCCCGCCGTAACGAATGGTGTGTTTCATGTTTTGCCGGGGTTGGCTCTTCAGCTGTGATTTCACTGGAACTACGATTATTGACGACCGGGGTCCAAGCCGCGCAAACTTTCTCCCCAGATGATAATTGCAGGTCCGCGAACTTGGCAGTACTAGGTAATCAGACTTATCAGTCGAAACCTTGGCCGGTTGCGGGATGCGAACAAGGAGGATAATAATAATGCTGTCCTTGATAGCCCCAGTTTTGTCGCTTCGCATTGAATATTCGAGGCAGGAAATCGATGGACATCACTTATTTCACCAAGAAAACGAGGAATGCATGCTAACTGGAAGATATGATCATCTTATCTGTACGAATCTCTTGTCAGAGTAGACAGACTTCATGACATTAAGTCCCTGAAGCTGATAAACAGCTCTCTTATATTGAACGCTGTTTTGTGAAAAGTCAGGACCACTTTGTATGTAATGTACGCACAAGATCCGACACTTTCCCATTTTTCTCTGGCGGTGTGCTTGGTATTCTTGCTGTGGCTGTCGGATTTTATCTTCCAATGATCATTGAGTGAGAGATCATCTGGATGATACAAGATATTTTGAGTCTTCCCTCTTGTACTGTCTCGCCCCACGAGACGCGACTCGCGTAATGTCTCATGAGAGATGTGTCGTCCCTTGCATGTATGCACAGTTATTTCCCTGATTCGTCTATGGAAATAATATCATCATATGCACACTAGATCCGGAGGAATCGAAGATAAAATGAGACCTATATAAATGCGGGTGGGAAGCAAACGTTTAAGGACAAGATAGCTGTACCACTTCATATTCCCGAAAACTTCGGCCGAGGGCTGCAAAAAGCTTTGTTACTTTCTTGATCAATGCTGAGATGATCGATATCAGAACAAATGTTGTAAGACATGGGTACGCACCAAAGGTCCATCGCCCAACGAAAATATGCCTAAAATGCCACTGCATCCTCGCGACGTTTGCGGTAGCACAGATATCTTATCCCTAAGGGCAAGTCTCTCCCCCCTCTTGTGGGCTATCAGGGTCAGGAACGAGAATCGCTTGTGCGTTGTACAGCCGTTTATTCGTGTTATCGACGTCCTGAATCATGGATTTCATATGAAGTCCCCCCGGAATACAGAATATGTATGTGCATGCACACATCGGACGTAGGTACCCAGGTACTGTTGAAGGTTACATTTCCTGAGAATGGTAACCTTTTCCAATTTTTCTATTTTTTAAACCAGTCCATTCTCCCAGTGTGGAAGTTGGGAGAGAAAAGTGCTAAAGAGCGACTTGAAAGGTTATCCATCTCACTTGCACGTATTATTAATGAGGAAGAATTCTTCTTCCAGCTTTTCTCTTTCAAGATGTCATCTGCCATCGGACGTTGTTTTTCCATGATTCAAGGATATGTTATTAGTTTCTCCAGTTCCAAATCCAGCTTTCGAATAGTAAGATTTCATTCATGCATTGATTTCCTGGGTTTATTCTTCTTCATTCAACAAAGTAATAGGAAAACGTCTGCTTGAGGATTAAAAAAGAAAAAAAAAGAGAAGAAAAAGAAAGAAATGGAAAAGAAAAGAAAAGAAAAGATAGGAAAGAAGCAAGGCATGATACTGCTTCATATCTCCTATCTCCAAATCTCCAAACAATCAATGTTTGAAAAACAGACAAGATTAAACTCGTCATTCATTGACATTGTTTAATGAGAGTTTCCCAATCGCTCATGCACTCCAATCACGCAGGAACAGCTTTTCAAGTTTCTTCCAAATAATGTGCTATTGGATGCCGTGGGTAGGGAGGACCTTGAGGATTCCTATCTATCAAATTTCCGTCGTCTTCTAGACCTTGTGGCTTTGATTTATTTTTAACAGGAACCGTGCTGCCGTCCGCTCGCTGTCTTGAATCCGTTCTCAAGGGTGTTGAGCAATTTTGGGGCCCTTTACGATTAAAAATCATGTAATTGAAACAATGAATAATGATGATGATGATGATGATGATGATGATGATGATGAATGCCCAACAAGGCTCCAAAGATCTTGTAAGGCCCTGTCGATCTCGCTCCTCTTTTCTTTTTGGTGTGTTATTTTTCTCCCCTTTTAGGGCGATACGAGCAAGAAGGGCGCATCCCAAATATTAGGCTGCTTGAAGTAACTTGCATTGTCTTTCGAGGACGAAAATGTACCGGTTACGCATTAAAATCAATCGAGTTTATCAACTGCGAGAAGAGATTATCGGTTACCTCTTTTCAATTCTCGGGTGCGACAATTATCTCGACCAACTCTCAGTCACCCACCAGAAATCCTGTGGTATGTGGTATGACAATTGATGCATTTAAGCAAAAGATAATAAGACATCCGACTCCAATTAGAATACAGCGGGGCATCGAATGGTAAATCTGTCACCCCCACTTTCACTCTTCTTGATCTGGGTAGTTAAAATGCCATAGGAATTTATCCGTCCACTTGGAACTTTTCATGCTAGGTGTTGTGTCGTCATTAATGATTATGGCAGCTTGGCTGGAGGAAACGTCAACGCCCTCCATCTGGTCTTGAGGTCGGACCGTCTATCGGAATGTGATAAATCGGAAGTATGGACACCCGTACTCCGCATAATGCACGTAGATGCATGGCACAGGGCATAGGTTTTAAGTGGTCCACGGGTGATCTCTGTGGACCCATGTATATATGTGTGTATGCACTGTGCCTCCTCCATCCTCGCACTTGTGAAACAGAATGATCAGAACATCACAAATCGGGAAGTGATGGCGAGAGTGACTGTTATAAGATGTGTCGTAAGGTGACATGGTATCCATGGATCAATAGATGAAAAGTGGAATGACAAGATTTAGGCACTGTCTGCAGTGTCCGCCAGAGTCATTCCACCCAGGAATATCGAACCCAAACATAGAGATGTTTCATATTCAACCAGGAACCAGATTTGAAACTAGGGTATTTAGGTGAAGTTAGACTTTAAGAGCAAGAACAAGATATCTGCTCTTCATTTAAAATACATGACCTCACCCCACTATTAATATGTGGAGGTTTCATATCTCTCGTTAGTTAACTGTTTTCAAAACCTAGGAATTTATATAAGTTGGATGAACACGGCGCGGTCCTTTGAATGGATGCATAATGGGAAGAATGCCACTCTACCTCGATTCTCTAACAATCTGTCATAGAACTTGGTGTCGGGATTGGTATTGACTTTTGTCAACTTGGATCTTGAATTAATTAATCTGGATTCAAATATCAAGTTACGATGGTGATATTTTTTCTTTGGAACACGGCTGCTTTTATCATCATATCGATAATCCACGGAAATGATGCAGCTGCAGGTCATAGAATCTGTAAGACCTTTTTCATCTTCCTCCTCTTCCTCCTGCGATTGGGACGTACGAACTTGAAGATATTTGAAACTGTTTCTGGTTGGGTTGTGATCGAGACGCTCATTATGATGCTTGTTATAATTTTCTTATTATTTTCCCGCTGTAAGGTACCAGGGGATCATGCCAATCATAAAGTAGAGAAAGACATGCGTGGAGCCGGAATCATATGACAAATTTTGATAAAATTGAGCATTGACATCCTCGAATCACACGAAGAAAGCTGAGGAACTCGATGTCATAGGTCCAAAAAATCAGGGACAGCCACAGCTGTGAATCTGTGATAGACCGACTGATCACCATTCCACATATGTATTTCATTTTTACCTTTGAATAGTAGAGAATTTTAATGCGGATAATTTCATATTATTCTCGATGATTGGGCGAGCTCTTCCTTTTTAAACAATCCTCGAGTTAACCTCCAACCTCCAATAAACTGGCTGAAACGAAATGCTGAAGCAAACAGAGGTTGTTCGCCCCGCTCCAAAGAAGCAGAAAAATAAGGTTTCAGGAACCGCAATCTATGTTGTACCATGGAAAATAAAAGTAAAATATAAAATCACCTCCAGGTCTGCGGCGAGCCACGGCCTAAAAGCATGCTTGATAGTTTCCTCACGAGTCAACCTTGGCAGCAGGATTTACAACGGAAGCCAGGGACTAAAAATCCAGCACGAAATGCTTACTGGATGACAGGTGCATAAATGGCAGAAAGTGGCAGAAGTGGCGATAATGCGCTGCTCAGCATTGGATGAGATGTGTGGCCAACACCTTTGGCTTCACAGGTCAGTGAGCCCACTACTGCAGGTCGAGTTATCCTGGGTCGCTGGCCGCTGGACGATATGGAAGAAATGCTCACATTCTTATTTTTATGTGAGTTTCTGGACTTGTTTAAGAATAGTCTAGATGGGTGAAGCATATCGTCGTAGTTTTAAGTCCCCTCGCGGTCCTTTTAGTCGATATCTTAGCACCCGAATTGTGCCTAGGTAAACTGTGAATAGCGACCAGTTGGAGACGAGAACCATTTAAGGACCCTTGCGTCCAACCTCCGCATAAACCCAGACACCTTAAAATTGTCCAATAAAACAAGACCAAGAGAGGCTTACGGTGCCACAGTGGAGGGAGTCAACCCGGCCCACTTTTGTCTCTGGATGAACTTGTCTGGGCTTTTTCTGCACCACCAGATCAGCGAATTGCAACCTTTTGGTAGCAGTCTTCAACAGCAGAAGAGGGGCACCTCCACAACGCACCTGCGGGATCAATTCATCCATCCATTTCATGTGTGTCTCCCTCATCTCTGTAACTGGTGGAAGGGATGACATATAAAGAGGTCGCTTGCTCTTTAAGGTTCACCCTACAGTGCCCTGTCTGACCCCATCTCTGACTCTCCTTAGATTCGATCATTATAAGGAGCACAGAAACCTTGCACCGTTTGCTGGAATATTGTCACCGATGAAACCCGGGTGAATAGAGCACATGGGTTTCTTTTGGACAGGTAAACCATGTCATCGTAATGATTGATGTTTCCATCGCTCTTCTTTTGGGTCATCCCAAGGCCTTTGAACTGTGCGTAGTAACCAAATCATGATCTTTTCCAAGTTTTCCTAATCTTCGATAATAGTTTGTCAAGGCAAAAATATAGGAAGAGAAATGGGCGGGAGCCCAGTGCAACCTAGCTAGCTGTACGTAAGTGCGTAGGTCGTCTCCGACTAGCCTCTCACGCTCTTCCATTTCTTTCTAAGTGATCAACTGGGTTCATTTTTTATTAGTGGTAGTGAACTCAACCTGAGATCTGCAGGCCACGGGTGGATTCATGGATGGGGTCAGCAGAAGTGTAAAAATGGTGCCAAATCAAATAACAATAAGATGCCTATTTGCTGAGCCATCCACTCACGTCAGTCGCCCCAGACTAGGGGGGTGGGTAGCGTCTCGACTGAGTGGGTGCTTGAGTGTTTGATGCTTGCCGCTTGGTGGGAGCTGCTCGTGGAGGAATCGCTGCTTAGGTTGCTGACTTGCTGCTATCTGCCGACGGGTGGTGGAGGTTTGGTGGTAGCGGGAGTGGGATTGGGAATGGTTGTGCTGCTGGTGCTGTACCTGGTCTCACTGGTGGCCCATAGCCAACCCGCCAACCACTCATTGCGGTCCGTTGTCAGTGATGGTCGCTCGCTGGTCCCTGGAGGTTGTGTCCTGACTGACTCCATTGTGGTGTGTTCCTGTGTACAGTGTCTGTGTCTGTGTCTGTGGTGTGCGTGTGCATGTGCCGGTGTGGTAGCTTGTCTTTGACGCTGGTGTTCCAACTCGTCTCTCTCTTCCTCACACATTCTCTCTGACTATGACCCGATGTCCTGTTCTGCACGCCAGGCTGGGCTACTTTCTGTCATATCACCCTCTCTGCTCACTCCGTCACTCTTTTCATCCCGCCCGCCTTTGCGCAGCCTGGTACTAAATATTGCTCTAACTATCGTCGTCCATTTTTCTTTCTCTTCCATCCATATCTTTCTCTCTCTCTCTTTTTCTCTCCTTCTCTCTCTCTCTCTCTCTTTTTTTTTTTTTTTTTTTTTTCTCCCCTTTTTTTTTTCCCTCTCACTTCTTCGTTTTGTCCGTGGGCCGTTCAGTCCGTCCCTTTTAATTTCATTTCTATTTCATACCCTACACCTTTATACCTTACTATTATTATTACTTACTTTTACTACTATTCTCTTTTATTCTTTTCTTTGGACCGTGTTAGGCTTGGCCTCTCTGTCTTGCTCGAATATATCAACAGTCCTTCCTTTTGATCCTCCAGCTGCATCTACTCTACATCGACACATATACACAACACAAATACTTACTGCAATACTGCAATACTGCAACACTGTACTATGCTTACTCGATAATATTATCACGCCACGGTCCTTTACTACTTCAATCGCCAGTGCGAACTGCCGGATCCAAACATACAAATCAACCGTACCTCTCGATCGCCGAGATAATCGCAACTCTGTTCCTCTACTGTCCTGTCCGCCCGCTAGTCGCTCTTTTTTGGCAGATCTCTACATTCAATAATTTGCCTTTATTTATTGATTTTTATTTATTTATTATAACGTTTATCATCATCATCATCATCATCATCATCATCATCATCATTATCATTATTACTATTGCCTATTATTCCTGCGTCTTTTTCGCATGTACTATTCCGACTTCCATTCTGTATTGCCTCATATCGTTCGAAGCAGGCTCGACATTACCTGGAGCATTGTATCTGAGTCGAATATCCTCGACTTAGTTCCTAATTGTTTTGTTTTATACCGAAAGCCTTCTCTTTTCGGTTCTGTTTAATCATATCGGTAAGTGGGATGCGCGACGAGAGGGGGAGAAGGGCCGACTTGAGAGTCCTGTATCGGATCGAGGACAAAAAAGACCTCGACCGCTTGAGCAGTTCTGTACTGATTCTTGAGGTTGACTGAAGGCATTTTCCATTTTTAGATCAAAGCAGTCATGGAGCCCAACTACGCCATGCATCCAGCGCCAGTTTCCGGGACATCGCCCTTTTATTACTACAATCCGGATCCGGATGCTCACAATGGGCCGCATGGGCACTTTTCAACCCATCCCTCGGAGATGCAACAGCAGCAGCAACTTCAGCATCCGAACGGGCACATGCCAATATACCCAAACCAACCTGTTCACCAACTCCATCACCAACTCCATCACCAACTCCAGCAGCAACAGTTACAGCAGCAACCTATGCAAGAAAAGCACTCGGGATACATGCACAATCCGCTCCCAGCCCAAGCTCAACCCCAACCCCACCCTCAACTCCATGCCATGAACCTGCTCAACGGCACGATTCACATGACACCCACCGCATCACCGCAACCACTGCATCTCAAGCCCAGCATCGTGCTGCATCAAGGTTCCCCCTTGCTAATTCCGCTGGACACCTCGTGCGGCGGGGATGGCGCTGATCTGTACGGCTTCCCGTCTACGCCTCCATTGTCGTCATCTGGAAGTACGGTGAGCAGTCCACCCTCCAGCTGCGGGGGGATGCAACACACGCCTGTGAATGGGAACTTTTTCCAGCTGGAGACAATTGAGGGTGTGAAAGAGGGGTGTCAGAGTGAGGTGCAGACGGAGATATTGGCTAGTTTGGACTGGGGGAGATCGAGTTCGCCGCCCATGACGCCAGGTACGTGTATTCGATTTTTATTATTTTTATTATTTTTTATTTTAAAATGTTTTAGGTTTGGATTTGGTCAAGAGATGAGGTTGAAATATGCGTTGAAAATTTTTTAGAAAAAAAAGGGGAAAAAAAAAAAGTAAAACGAAAAAAGAACTGTGTGATGAGAGTTGTGGGGAGGAAAACAAAAAGCCAAGGCATTGTCTGGAGGTTCAATCAATCATTTTTGTTTTTTTTTTTTTTTTTTTTTTTTTTTTTGGCAGAGGTTTGGCTGCTTGCTGGCTGCTGAAGCTGGGTCGGTGAGCAGCAACACCAAAACAATATGCAAAAAGAAGAAAATCAAAAATCAAAATCAGAAAGAAAATAGAAAAGGAAAAAGAAAACAAAAACCAGAAGAAATCCAGAAGAAAAAACTAAACACAAAAAAGGACCGTTATTTTAACTGATTTGCTGTTTCTAATATGTTCTGTTACTTCCAGTGTTCATCCGCCCCCCTGGTACAGGTGTTGGCGGTGCCAGCGTGGGCCAAGCCGGGGCCAGCCACCAGGCCACCCAGGGCTCGCAGGCCACACAGGCCACCCAGACCTCCACTAGCACTTCGTGTCCCTCCCTTTCCCCTTCCAGTTCGCCCTCGCCCACGCCCATCCTCAACTCCTTTCTCCTGCATCCCCTTTCGCCCTCCACCCTGGCCCTCAACCCGTCCAGCTCCGACTTCTGCGACCCCCGCCAACTCACTGTCGAATCTTCGGCACATTCCTCGTCCTCGTTGTCCTCGTCGTCGTCGTCGTCGTCGTCGTCGTCGTCGGATTTTCCTCCTTTGCCCTCGCTGTCGCCAGAGCACCACACCGACCACGACCACGATACCCACAAATTTATCCTGGGCGCTGGCACCGACTCCCTCCACCCCCACGATCTCTCCCACTCCTCTCTGAGAGATACTACCGATCACTCCGAAGATAACCTGGGTAACCTACCGTCATTTGACAATTTTTCAGATCTCGACTCTGAAGACGAGTTTGTCAACGGGATTATCGACTTTACCCCGACCGAGAACACGTTCTTCCTAGGCGGCAAGCGTCGACGCGTAGGTTCCTTCTCCCGCAACAACGACGGCAACGACAACGACAACGACGATCTCATCAGTGAACAGAGTCTAGAGGACCTCGAAGACGAGGATTTGTTTGCCCGCTCTGATCTGCCGTTGCTGCCATCCGAAGTCCCAGACGCAGCTGACTCAACCACCGCTAACATTTCGATAACCACAATCCCCTTTGCGACCGGTGAGATGAGGACGAAGAAACGTCCAACACCCCGCAAACACATCAAACACCACTCATCCTCCGACAGCGAGTCAGATACCCTTGGCTCCATCATCAAAGCTGCCCAAGCCAACGTCAACAGTCGTGGCTCCAACACGCACACCGACACCACTACCCCGTCGTCCCAACAACCCCAGCAGCAGCAAGAACATCCATCAGGCGCACCGACAAAGGAGTCATCTGAAAGCAACCCACAAACCTCAAGCTCGTCAGATGCCACTATCCCTGCCCCGGTCCTCCCCGTCAATCGTCGTGGACGTAAACAATCCCTCACCGAAGACCCCTCCAAAACCTTCGTGTGTACGCTATGTTCTCGCCGCTTCCGACGACAGGAGCATCTAAAACGTCACTACCGCTCCCTTCACACTCAAGACAAACCTTTCGAATGCCACGAGTGCGGCAAGAAGTTCTCTCGCAGCGATAATCTTGCCCAACATTCCCGCACGCACGGTGGCGGCGCCATCGTCATGGGCGTCCTCGACGCGCGAGACGTTCATCACTCAGATCCATCCTCCCCAACACACCATCACAACCATAACCACGGTCCCAGCCACAGTCCCAACCACAGCCCAAATCACAACCACCACTACTTCGACGACCAGGACGCTGGTGCCCTGGGCGCCGTGCTCTATGAGGCTGCCCATGTCGCCGCCAACAAGTCCACTACCAGTGAATCATCAGATGATAATGACGGCATATCTCCGATACCCTTCACCGATCGCAAGCGGCCAATCAAGAAGCGCAAGCGGGAGGAATCTGCGTAATCTCCTTTTCTATCCATCTCCCTCTATCTCTCCTGATTTCTAAGAATGAAAAAAAAGAGAAATACTACTGATAATACGGGACCTGCTATACGATGCCCATGCGACCAGGAGATTACATATTTTCCTTTCCTCTCGCTCACAACTTCTGTCCTTCTTCCTGTGATTATAGATCTTGGGACATGCATGCATGCCTGCATGGATGGGTTTCGACTTGGAAACATATCTTGCATATCTAAACCAAGACAAAACCCTCCTACAATACCTCTGTTGTCTTTTGTTTTATATCTACCCCTGGTGTGTGTGATCTTGTTGAGTTTTGCTGCTATATTTTACTCAAAACTACTGGCGTCCGGGAAATTTGTGTGGTGAGCATTTGAGAACCTCTATCTCTTTATATACTAATTCCCATCTTTCGTTTCATTTCTCTTTTTTAATTTCCCTTCCTTTTTATACATATATATATAATATCAATCGACACATCCTCAATCCTCAAGTAACTCAGCACTCTTCCAAATCGGAAATATGAAATCCCTAGGAAGAGACTGCGTGTGCCTTGTATTGAGGGTGGAAGCTTTTAATTATTTATTTTCTGATGACGATTTTTCTTTTTCTTTGCAGTTTGTCGTTTTATTTCTACTTTACTCCTGCACTCTAAATAAATGGAAGAGTATGCGTTGGAGTAACGTAATACCCTTTTTTTTTCTTTCACTTTACTTCCGTTGGGGAGGGCGGGGAGAGGACAGAGTTTCATCCATCCTCTGTCCTTATTCATTTCTGTAAGGGCTTAGGGTTCTTTTGTTGTCTCCCATCTCGTTTACATTTCCATTCGCCATTTATTTCTCGTTTCCACTTTTGTCATGTTTGGCTGCTGGTCACGAAGACATGATGAATCAATTGTTTTGATATCACCACCCCGTGTGCTCTGTTTTTGTTTGTTTTACACTATTCTCCTCCAG